TTATATATATATATATATATTTTAAAAAGTGGGAGGCCTAGGCTACAGTCCCAGTTTTGTCTCTAACAATCTGAGTGTCCTGGGGAGAGTCACTTCATTTTGCCTTTAGCTTCCATCCCTTAGGTCTTCGCTATGCTGTGATTTTGTACCATCGCTGCCGGAAACTAGATGGTCTTTGTTGATGGCTCGAGGGTCTCAGAGAAGAGGGGATAATCTTCTTTCACTCTGTTTCTCTTGCAAGATCTCTTTTCTTTCATTTCATTTTTTTCTTCCTTGGGTGACAAATCCTGACGCGTAATTTTGTGTAAGAAGGGAAGTGAATATCTAGTGGGAGGGAGACTTAATATTGTCTGAACTTAAAAATGTTTAAGCCACAGTTAGAGAGGACATGGTGGGAGGTTAATAGGCTCTGGAATTTTGGGGGCCTTCCTTTGTCTCAGCCTATTCTCTCCTGAGTCCTCCCTTTTTTATTTCCCTAGGAACATTACGTTTAACCTCGTGGTAAGGAGGTGAGTGGGTGTGCTGGGCTCCAAATGCCACATATTAGCTGGAGGTGGTGAGTGGGAGGTTTCCTAGTAAAACAGAATTCCTCAGTTTTTACTTCCACGTGTGGCTTAAGTCATTTGTTTCATATTTACCCTTCACTTACCTTTTACTTGACCTAAACCTGGTTCAGAACTTTACATGGAAACGTTATCTACTAACATAATTTTGTATAGTAGAATTCGGACAAGTAACAACAGACTGTTTCTTACAGAATGAAAATGTGGCTCTTGTGTTTGGTGTTCTGTTTGGTCCTTGGGACCCTGCATTCCGAAGCACCCAGAGGGAAGTTGGCAGCTGTGGATCCAGAAACAAATATGAATGTGGTAGGTTTCTCAAAGTCATCTGCTTTTAAAATGCATCTGTGACAAATGTTTATTGTTTTCTTAAATCCACTTGTGTGGCTACACGAAGCCACAAACTATAATCTTTCCATCTCATTTTTAAAAATGTTCTCTGAATCTCAGATTTAGTTTTCTGGACTTCACCTACTCAGTAATATGTGTTTTATGAATCTCATTTTACTGTTTAAACTATATACATCTTAATAAGATAAATTATGTTTTTATACATTCATCTCATTTTTGCCTCGCAGAATTTGTTTAAACAGCAATTAAAAAAAGTGTCAAAACTTTACAAGAATGTTAATACTGAGTGTTTTGAACAAGGACTGATTAACAGTGTCTAGGGAGCATAGTTCAATACAGAAATCAAAGTATCTGAGAATATTTTGTTAGATCAAATAAGTAAAAATAATTCCTTGAGTAATGAACACATTTCAGTTATTAATCTTAAGTAAACAATTAAATGTGGAAATACCTCATTTAGGCGTAAAATACCAGGAAAGTACAGATTACTAAAGGAAATAGAAGCTTTAAAACAGGTGATGGAGAGACTCAGCTGAAGAATTAGGCAGCGTTAGAGACAGAGATAAATTTATAGTCAGACAAGAGGATATGACCCGGTATCAGGCTCTTAAGTTTAAGTTTTATTACTTGTCTTGAATTGTTGCCAGCCAGGGTTCTTGGACTGCTTAATCAATAGAAATTGCTAAGAGGCGAGATGAGAAATTCAGATAAAGCTTTACTGGGACTTGTGCTGCAGCACAAGGGAGCGAAAACAAGTAACAGTTTCCCTAGCTTGCTCCCCAAGGGGTGGGGCAAGCTGGTTCTTTAAATCAGGTAAAGGTTCCAACAGTGGGGCCTGAGAGGTGGCTTGGGGGCCTGCCCACATCCTAGGTGCTGCTCTGTGCAGGGAACATGCGCAGTCCCCTGCTCTTGCTCTAACGTCTCAGAGGTGGCAGTTGGGTTTTTGGTCTTTTTGTATCTTGTTCATAATTTGCCCCCACTGGGTATGAATGCAGTTATTTTTAGTCCCTTATAGTTTCTCTATATCTGTCGTTCAAGGAGACATCTGTCCAGGTGCAAAGACTGCAGCAAAGGGTCCCAGGTCCCAGGCCCCAGCCAGTCTTAAAGTCTTTTAAGTTTTTTAAATTAAAAACATTTTCCCCTTCAGTTTTTTTGTAAGAAGAATAAATACTTTCAAGTATTTATGGTAGAGAGAATAATGAGCACTTATGTACAAACTTCTAGATAACTTCTAGATAACTGAATTATCCACATGCCACTGAGTTCCTGATTAACAGCTGCCCCATGGATTAAGAGGTACAAACTGTTATATATAAAATAAATAAGCTACAAGGATATATCATTGTACAACACAGAGAATATAGCCAATATTTTATAGTAACTATAAAAAGTATAAGTATATAAGTATAACCTTAAAAATTGTGAAGCACTATGTTGTATACCTGAAACATATAATATTGTATGTCGACTATACCTCAATAAAAAAAAATGAATGCCACATGAATCTTTCCTTATGGAGTAGTGAATTTGATCATAAGTTCTTACTTTTTCATCTTTTCTCCCTCCAATTTTATCGAGATTTAATTGGCGTATAAGACTGTATGCGTTTAAGGTGTACGACACAATGGTTTGATACACGTTTATATGGTGAAATGATTACCACAGTCATTTTATCTTTTCTTGTTCAACTTGACCTTGACGTTCTAGTGTAGTTTTATCGGTGCATTGATAAAAATGGATTAGCACTTTTTATACTTCATTTCCCAGGACAGGGCCTCTTAACATAAGGAGAATGGTAGATCATGGTATTAGCTGTCATATTGAGAAAAGAAAGAAATTTTATTTGCGCCTGCTGGAAACAAAGAGGCCCAAAGCTGTGGTAAATTAGACACACGATGTAGAAAATGATAGAATGATGAAACCAAGGTTTAAGTAAGCATCTGTGAGAAGTAGAAATGAGTAAAGCAGAGGGTTTATTCCTGTGATGGGATGTTGTGCAGACCAAAATTTCAATACATTGACTTAAATAAAACCTGGAGAATGTCACTGATATTTTGTCTTCTCCTTTGCTCCACAGAGTGAAATCATCTCTTACTGGGGATTCCCTAGTGAGGAACACCTTGTTGAGACAGAAGATGGATATATTCTTTGCCTTAACCGAATCCCTCATGGGAGAAAGAACCATTCTGACAAAGGTATGGGTGTTTTCTCTGTTGAGATAGGAACGCTCTGAAAAGTAACTGCTTTGCTGGAATTTGGCTGATTTTTATTTCAGTAACCACATTCGGATTTAACTTGAAAACATTGAAATGGGATTATTTTAAGACCAAAGAATTTAAAGTGTTACATTTATGCAAGGCACAAAAAAATAAAACATACCTTCTTTTAAATAAAGAAGGACAAGAGTCATCTAATTTCATATTTTGCTTAAAGAGTCAAAGGTCAGGTTTGTTTGAGGATCTGCTAAAATCTCTTTTTTATAAGGAAGCATTTTGTTTAATAAAGTATTTTGAGCATTAAGTATATAGTTTTTGCTATTTGAAAATTACTCAATTTTTCTAGTAGGTAATGTATTCACACAGTTCAGAAATCAAAGAGAATTAAAAGATTTGCAGTGAAGTATCTCCCATCTCATTTTCTACCTCATTTTTTTATTTGTCCTTCCAAAATCTCTTTATATTTCTTTATTTAAAAAAAAGCTCTTTAGAAACAAATAAAAACATATTTTCCCCTGCTTCCCTTTTAATACAAAAGGTGGCGTATAATGCGTGTTCTTTTGTTCTTTGAATTTTTCACTTAATATTTTGGAGATAGTTCCATACAATACAGAGAGCATTTCATCATTCGTCTCTGCTGACCCATAGGATTCCACTGTATAGCTACATCATGATTTACTTAACAGATGTTCTCATTAATGGGTATTTGGTCTTGTCTTCTACTAACAAATATTATTGCTGTAAATAACCTTGTATGTGTGCAAGTTTATCTACAAGATACATTTTCAGGAAGAGAATTTTGGGGTCGGGATATACGGATTCATGATTTTGATAGCTATTGTTAAATTGCTTTCCACATGGTCTTGTTCTGACAATTATTCTCATTAGGAACATATGAAAGTACCTATAGTTTTGGCTTAAAATATATACATATTTTTTCTCTCATTCATAACTCAAGCAAAACTATGGTTTCCAATGCAGATTAAGGAATTTCCAGATAGACTACTTGAAATTGTTAAACAGACATCAAAATGAGGATCTGATCCTTATTCAGTCATCTCTCCAGATGTAGCTTTTTTTTTTTTTTAATGTTTTCTATGTTTTTAAGAAACTTTCCTTGGGAAATTAAGGTGAGATTAAGGTAATTGGATAACTATCTCTTCTTCAGTTGAAATTTTATATGAGTAGAAGGGCCTTCTTTGCCTTGATTCCTTCCCACATTATTATTCAAAGCAAACTTAAAAACCCCCTGTGTTAATGTGAGCTTTGTATTGTTATCTATTTTTGTCATGATTTACTCTGATTTATCTATGTTTTTCTCCCATAAAATCTAGCTATAATGAGGTATAATGAGGCTTTTCATAATGCTTAAGTGGTAAGACAGCCAATGCTCTTTTTGAACTTTAATTTCTAACTCTTGAGATTTTTATGATTTATAGATCTTCTTTAAAAGCATGTTACAAAATGAGTAATGAGTTACAGCGAGGGCTTCTATTTTTCCTTCTGCTTGAACCAGAAGAAATATTTTATTTCAGAGTGAATGAACATGATCTTCGTTTCCTTCCCCTTTTTAAATATAAACCCTGTATGCTGATTTCAGATCCCATATAAAGAGAAATATGTATTGATATGCTTTCTCTTAAAAGTGATTATTTGACTAATACAGTTAGTAGTGTGAGTCATTGTTAAAAGATGAAGGGAACTTCAGTAAAAACATGCTCAGAGAACCTGCCTCCTCCTTTTCTATATCCACCTCCAGGCTTCTCTCTCCACACAGCAGTGAAAGCAGATAGTGCCACATGCCCCATGGTACGTATTGCGACCATTGCAGGTGAAGGCGCTGTGCCCTGGAAAGTGAGCGTCCTTCTTGATCTGCTCCCAGGTGTTACAGGAAACTCAGGAGACCTCACTGTAAATCTGCATCGGCTCCTAAGTGCTTGTGTGCTGTCATCTCTGTAGGCCTTGGATTCTTCATCTGCACAGTGGTCGATTGGCTGGGATGGTCTCAAAGTTCCCCTTTGGTCTTTATCACTCTCTGGTTTTATGGGTTATATTGTATTATATATATATAACATATATATATATATATATATATATATATATATCCCCACCTTCTCCCTCTGTTCTGCAGAGGCCTCCCTGTAGGGGGTCAGTGTTGCAAAGGTAACACCTGCTGGGAACCAAGCTCAGAAGGGAATTTTAGAGGAAATCTGTGACAGAGGACTCAATTATCTACAGGAACGTGTGGTTCTCCTGAGAACTGCATAGTGCTTCTCTTATGGTTTGCTTTCCATGGTCCAAGGAAGGGCATGGAGCTGAGGCTCTTCACCGACCTTCACTCCTATTCAGGAGCAGTGACTCCAATGGTGTTATTTTGGCATATTTAAGCCAAAAAGGATGCATGCAGTACCTCACACCCAGCATGGAACCAATGCCCCATGCCACTTCCTCTGACTTCTTACTCTTTTAGTAACACCCTGCCCTTCTGGTGACCTGGATCAGAAACGGCCCAGTCACTGCTGACTCCCATCCCCAAGTAGCTGGCAGGTGCTCTCTGGGCTCCCCATGTTCTATGGCTTCAGTTCAGCCCTCCCTTCTCTTTGCCAGGCCACGCCACTACCTTTTGCTTGTATGACCGTTTACACCGACCTCTCAAATAAGTTCAGAACCTGAGAGAGGCCTGAGCCACTTCCATTTTTGAGACTTCCCATATATTAGAATAAAAGAGAGAATTTCAAAACAGGAGGAGGAAAATTCAGTCTGCTTGTCTTTTAAGACAGTAATGCTTTTAATATACACAAAAATAATGCCGTACATCTGTGCTATTTATAGGACATTACAAGATACATAAAAGTGAAACAATTCCTCTGACCCTTTTTAATGCAGTTTTTCTCAGCTTTTGTCCTCTACAATGGGGCTGCAGCCCTTCCCTGTGTTCAGCGATTCTAACAAAGGCATTCTTCTCTGTGGAGAGTTGCTAAATTGGAGCTTCTGTGAGGAGAGTAGGGCTGGGGACCTCCTATTCGTCCATCTTGCTGATGTCACCTTCATTATTGATTTATCAGTACCACATTCCTTATGGACCCTTAGTTTAAAGCTATGTGATAAATAAGTGAACAAAAAATATTGCCAGCCATGCAAACAAAGAATGCCATCAAGTCATCAGCCGCTACCGTCAACCCCGACACAGGATGCAGACAAGCAGGCAGCCTGGCCTCTGCAGCCACCCCCAGCGGTGTACCCTGAGGGAACTCAGGATGTGGAATAACAGGATGCTGGCTCTAGATAGCTAGATCAAAGGAATGATCTCAGTGAGCCCAGACCTTTACACTTTCCCATACGTAGAAAAGCACTGAATTCCTTAACTTGAGATACTGGTCTTTTAATTAATGGTAATCGTTTGATGTTCTGACTACCTGGAACTTTGTTGCAGAAATTCACATATCCTGGCTTCTACCTTGCCACTTTGGAGCAGTGCCTTAGAGCGATCTGAGAGGCTGTCATCCCAGGCTTAAGTCCTCAGAAATGTCTGCCAAATAAAACCTAACTCTCAACTTTTAGGTTGTGTATTTTATTTCATTTGACATAAACATCTTTCAGTCCTGTCTCCGGACTCTGATTGTATGTGGAGCCTCACTGGGAGTCTGGAGATTTTTTTATGATCACAGGGCTTGACTACCCAGTGCCTCCACATGCCAAATGCCGTCCTTTCTCCCAGCCTCCCCGTTCTCGTCCATTTTACGTAGTTTTGCAGGATTAGGCTTCTTAGAATCCAGGTGTAATTGTATGTGTGTGTGTGTGTGTGTGTGTATATATATACATAGAGAGAGAGAAAGTAATGTGTGTCTGTTAATCCACAGCCCCTAATTTGTCCCTCCTCGCCCTTTCCCCTTTGGTAACCATAGTTTGTTTCCCATGTTTGTGAGTCTGTTTTTGGTTTGTAAATAGAATTTGTATCAGTTTTTTTTTCAGGTTCCACATATAACCGATAGCATATGATATTTGTCTTTGTCTGACTTACTTCATTTAATATGATAAACCCTAGGTTTGAGGTGCTTTTCTTACTCTGCTTTGGGGTTGATTTATGTATCTCCTTCTCCCTCCCACCATCCCTCCCTGCAGCCTCTCTTTGAAGGGAGAGGCTGTGTCTTTGTCATCTTTGTATTCCTCACAGCGAGCAGCAGCACCATGTCCTCTGCTTGGCTGGCCTGAGTAAGTTTTATCGGGCAGGCTTCAGAATTGGAGTTCTGTGCTATTGAAGGCCATGGACCCTCTTTCTAGTAAAATAAAATCGATATCTGTGCACACACAAATTTCACATTCAATTGCAGAGAGTTTATGGACCTAGTAAAGAACCCCCTGATTTAAACAATCCTTGCCTGTCCAGTCAAACCTTTGCTAACTAGGCAACTTGAAATACGTATTTAGAAAGCTCTTGTGGAGTGTTCGTGGGCTGTTTATCAATGTTAAGCAAACTTCTCTGTTGAGTGTTGACCCCCGCTTTGCACTAACTCCCTAACGGAATTGAAATTCAGAAATCCGTCGTTGATAGGGAAGTGGTTCTATTTTCATCTGCTCAGCCTTATTTCAGGAAGTCATGGGACATTGGCACTCGAAGGATCTCAAGAGTCCTGCCTGGGCTGGGGATTTCGAGCGCTTGCATTTTTATCATAAGTCCCCAGCAGATTCCAAGATAAAATCCTTGTGTTTGGGAGCCTGTGTTCTAGAGCAACACCTTCATTTTAGTGGGTGAGACAATTAGGTTCAAAGAGAGAAAGAAATTTGCTTTCGGTGAGCCGAAGGAGAGGGGCCCCCCAGTCTGACTCCAGTTTCAGTGTTCTCTGAATAGAGAGCGCGGCCTTACACAGTAAGTACTGAGCAAGTTGACCTTTTGATAGTCAGAATTATTATTTTATCTGTCTAGAACAAGGAAATACATGTAGGCCTTGCCTAAAAATGCATAAAATAGCAATAACAAC